TTAATAAAATATAAACTTTCAGTTTAGGTTGGCTAAAAGGCTTAGAGGCAGTATGGAAGCTATGGAATAAACACTGGAACTGGAATCTAGGCAAATGGCAAGTCACTTGACCTCTCTGAATCTCTTTCTCATGTAAAATGGGTATAAAATCTGCTTTGTGAGGATTTTTAATAAAAAGTTTTGTTTAATCATTTAATAATAGTAGCTAGTATTTCAGTGATTAATGTTTGACTACAAATGACTCATGCTTATTATTTAAGTGATAAGCTACAGGGTTTTTTATTTAAAGTAATTAATGTTGATTGGACATACAAAACTACCTATAATAAAAAGACATATTGCTTTTAGGTTGCACAGAAGATGGGATTTCCAACTAATATTGTGGATTCTGCGGCAGAAAACATGGTCAAGCTTTACAGCCTTTTTCTGAAATATGACGCAACCATGATAGAAATAAATCCGATGGTAGAAGATTCAGATGGAGCTGGTAAAGTATCTTTTGTCAAACATTGATTATGCATTTATCCATCTATCATACACTTCCCTAAGGAAGTTAAACTCATAAGGAAGTGAACTGATTCCTACGTAGAAGCTTATTTTATAATAAATAGAATGAATGTGAACAAATATTAAAGAGACCCATTAAAACAAACACCTTAGATACGTATTTATATACACACAGGGAGTAGAGCTGCACTGTCCAGTATAGTGGCAAATAGCCACATGTGGCTATTTAAATTAAAATTGTATAAGATTTAAACATTTAGTTCCTTAGTTGCACTATTCACATGTCAAATGCTCAGTAGCCACGTGCGGCTACTATATTTGGATAGTACACGTATAGAACATTTTCATCATTGCAAAAGGTTCTGTTGGGCAGAACTGGGTTAGAGCATCCAGTGTGGTGGTGAGTGAGCTGTGGTTTTGGGGGATTAGCATCTGAGTCTCCATGAGTTTCAGACTTTATGGATAGATGGATCTTTATTGTGCAAAGGGTATGCTCAAATACTACAGTCATTTTAATACTTTTAGCTACTAGAGAAGTAAGAAGATTAGCTTGTCACTTTGACAGCTCTCCTTTGGCATATGCTTAAAAGGTAAATCAGATTTGAATCATCATGCCCTCCACGTATAGGGTTTTTTTTT